CAATAAAGTTAAGGACGATCTAATATATCTAAACAGCAATACCCTTGTCTGAAATCCTTAATAATAAAGGTATGAAAGAATCTTTGCATGGCCAAACAATTTGTATTAAGCGAAAATTTGAGATCAAAGCACTGTGATTATTTCAAAACCAACGCTGGTGATTACAAACTACCCTAAGCTTCGCGTATCAGGAGGTCAGAACACATTAACTGTAAGCTGGGTGTCAAATGTCAGTTCTCGATGGCTTAAGACGCAAAGGAGGGGACTGCATGCGTAGACGGGCTCACAAAAGTCATAATTTCTTAGCAAGAAAAAGAGCATGATTATCCGCAATAGAAACTGAAATAATTTTATATCCCTCAAGGTGCGCTGAAGTAATGATTTTCGGGTGTGGGACTACTTTATCTTCATCGTCTTTGATCCCTAAACCTAACTGGCCGGATGTATCAAAGCCCCAAGAATAGGCTTTTCCTGAAACGTCACTGCGGTATTAAAATATTCAATAATAAAATGAAAAAAAAAACCGGTGATACAAGCAAATTAATTCACAAAGTCAGTCAACTCGGCCGCTGAAAGCGACCTTAGTGACGAAACTTCTTGCGACTTTCAGGTCTCTGGCAAAGAAACAGAATCAAAGAAATATCCGAGCTTCGCAAGTAAAATACATTTAGACCTAATATTGAAATTAAAGGTGTAATAAAACTAAAACTTAAAAGTAACTGAAATATAAAATGCTTCAGCAAAAACAAACCATCTATATCCCAAGCTATTGAGCACCCCAACTTGGCTGTGACTCCCGCTACTTTCGACGGCATTTCGATCTTTTGTAGTTTCTCATACTTCCAATGCTCCTGGTCATCTTTCCCAGTCCAAGTACCCAAGCCCAACGCATTATCGGTGTTTTTCCCGATACCGTACATTTGACCTGTTATTATTTGTAAGAAGCAGTAGTCAAAGAAGTGTGGAAACAGAACGAATAAAAATTAACAACCTTGTTCATCGAGCGCAATAATATGCTGCAATCCACACAACTGCATCACTTTTATATCTCCAAAAGCGGGTGAAACTGTGAGGTGCATGATACGTAGTTCCGGCTCTTCTTTGCCTGAATTAAAAACCAAGACTGATATTATTACGAAAAGAAAAACGTTCTTAAAAACAATGGTAAAATCCCGTAACACAGGTAAAAGACTTATCTACTAACCTTCTTCTGCTTTTTGATCAGATTCGGGTGTGGGAATGCCCAACTGGGCAAAATTATTCAGCCCACACACGAAAACCCTACCATCAACTGTTCGTGCGGCAGTCCAATACCCTCCAGCCGATATATCATCAAAATAAATTGTTTTTCCTTTCTCCGTAACCGTAACTTTCAAATTAGTTCCCTTATCGTCTACCATATACTGTGACCTGATCAACTTTGCTCGTGCGCTTCTTCCAAGTTGCCCCAACGACCCGTCACCAAAAGTCAAAATCTCCCCCGCTGAAGATAACATAACCAAATGATTTTCACCGGCTGCAATCTGGAATAATCTTTCTTCAAAAAAATGAAAACAAGGAATCTAAACTATACGTTACCTACCTGAGACCACTGCTTCAAGTTACCAAACCAGAACAAAATAAATCAAAAATCCCCTAATAAAAATAAATTGTACCAATCAGTAAAAACTAGACGTAGTGCTAATACTACATCTAAAGAAATTTTACCACCAATTATAAGTGAGAAATTTTCAAAACCTTGACAATCTGATGAACACCTTGGTGTACTATAACAACAGGACCATTTTCCATGTCCCGTAAAATTTTATGGTTTTCCAAAGAACCAGACGAGTCCTGTAAATTATGTAAAGAAAAATAAAACAGCGTAGTACTCCTTATTCAAAGTCAGTAGCACAGCAGAGAAGAAACAGATTACTGACCCTCAAACTCCCCCATGCAATAACGCTTCCTTTATCCGTCAACGCTGCGGAGAAACTAGCTCCTGCCGTCAACATTACCATCTAAAAAGAGAATTTTTTAAA